AAAAAAAAAAAAAAAAAAAAAAAAAAAAAGAAGAAGAAGAAGGAAAAGAAAAGGAAGATGGTAGAGACTTCGGAATCTGTGTTGATCATGGAGTTGGGATACCAGCCCTGGATTCTGCCTCTGGAGTTTTACACGAGACACATAAATCTTAATTTTATTTAAGCCACTGTTATCTGGGATTTCTGCTTGATGCAGCTGAACCCACTTCTGACTAAAACCTGTATTAGAAAAAGATGTGGAAAGAAGATTGTAATCCAGCCTTGTTGCTAGTGTGTGAAGAGAACAGAAAGGTTTTCTCAGGTCCACAAGCACTCACACCTTGTGCCTCCGTTAGAGACGGAGGGGGGGAATCTGGCAGCACCACATTTAACCTGTGTAAACCTAAGTCAGTTATTTAAACTTTTAAAGTTTATTTATAAACTGGAGAAAATATTACTCATTTCATAAAATTATCAAAAAGAGCAACTCCTGGCCTTAGGCGATTCTCTTGCCTCAGCCTCCGGAGTAGCTGGGACTACAAGCGCCCGCCACAATGCCTGGCTGTATTTAGTTGCAGTTTGGCTGGGGCTGTGTTCCAGCTTGCCACCCTCAGGATATGGGGCTGGCGCCCTACCCACTGAGTCACAGGTGCTGCCCTATAGCCCATCTCTTTATTTAGTGCTTAGCACTCTTGGGGAAAAAAAGAAAATTTATTGAACAATCAACTTTAGCCAATCACGAAGGGGATCAAAGACAGTAAGAAAGGTATGCCCTTTTATTTGCTATTGTTCAGAAATGTCTCTCCAACAAAAATAAGACAAGAAGATTTAAAAGTATAAATTTTATAAAGCAAGGACACTCAACTATTGACTGTATCATGAAAATAAGGAAATATTGGAACAGATGGTAATGAAGAACTTGAATATCCAGCTTAGTGGAACAAAACAGTCCAATAAATGCCCAGTTATATGTGATCAGTCAGTATGTAATAAGTGTTTTAAAATAGTGAGAAATAGATGAGTTATTCAATCATTAGTTTCGGGATAACCAGGTTACTATGTGGAAAAAAAGTTAAATTTTTAACCAATGCCATGTACCAACATAAAATTTTTGATAGATGGAGGAAGAAAATATAACGGAAAAATAGACATATTTTCATAATCCTGGGGTAGGAAAATATTTTCTAAATGTACAATCAAAGGCATAAATTACAAATAAAAGATTAATACATGTGATATAGATAGATATAGTTTCATTTTAGCTCATCTTTTTTT